AGATACTTTAGGTCTCTGGGATCTTATTTTACTTCACTAACTAATCTTTTTTCTTTTTTTACTTTCTTTTAGTCAGGTTTTCACCTTCTATTCTCTCTTATTAGTTGGATTTTTTACTTTCTCTTGGTTGGGTTTTAGCTTATATACAATCAAAAAATAAATAATTTAATTCTTTTTTTTTTATATTATTTAATTATTTTAATAAAATAAATTAGCTATTTATTTTTTGGTAATAACTATGATTAACCACTGGTTATTATAACCATCAGTTTAATAAAATTTTAAATTTTAAATTTTTAAAATTAAATTTTATAAAATTTTGAGATTTACGTAATTTGTCATGTGATGATTATGTGTCATATTTAGATTATTTTTATACTACTGATTGATTTATCAGCTTTTAAATCTTTTTCTTACGCCTTTCTTATACTCTTTCTCTTTCATTTTATTTGTTTCATTTACATCTTCTATTTCATTTACAAATTTATTCTATTACTTGTTTATTTTTATCATTGATTCATATATTTCATTTACTCTTATAAAATTGCATGAAAAAGAACATATGATACACCTTTTTCACTCATTTTATTTATTTTTATTTTTAATATCACTACTATCCTTTAATATCGTAATTTTAACATGGCTGAATTTGATCAGGAATCTAATATAAATATGCTTCTTATTTGCTAGAGTTTTTTTTTTAGTTTTGGTTAATTAGAGTTAGGATAAGTTAGGGTTAGGTTAGGGTTAAGTTAGGGTTAGGATTAGGATTAGGGTTAAGGTTACTGTAAAATGCTGAACTAGAAACTTGAAAAATCTAAAAAATAAAAAAATGGTTAACTGAAAAATAAAATATAGTGAAAAAATATATATATAAAAAAAGAGAAGTTAATCAACAAAAAGAAACACTACAAAAAAATATTAGAACTTTACTTGTGATAATTACAGTACAAAACAATTAATAATTTTAAATTACAGATCACATCTCTAACTTCAAAGATTCTAGTTTATTCAATTATGACGTTCAAAAATAAAAGAAATATTAGAAAATGTTTTTAAAAAATTAATTAAAAAATAAGTTCCTTCCAGCTTTCCCTTCTACATTATCTCGAAGTCCAGTTCGTCTAGAGCTGGCACCCTAAAAACAAAGAAAAAAATGTTTAAAATATTCAAAGATAAATAATTGAAGTCATCCTTTTTTAAGGGTAGAGGGATCGACATGGCTGATTATATGACTAAAAAAAAAATCATTTTTTTTTTACTTCACTATAAAGAAACTCCCTCAATATTCTATGTAAAACTGTTTAAAAGTACTCTTTAGAAAGCTAGAGTTTCTGTTTTTCAAATAAACTTTAGCAAAGTATAGTACAAATAAGGTTTATGACAAAATATTACACTATGAAGTTGTTATTAAGTTGTGAATCTCCTATGGTAAGTTGCAAATCACAGCATAGCAGGCTTTCTGATTTTCAAATAATCACATGATGATTGGCAAATGTGATTTTTATTTAAATAACAAATAAAATTTAAGTAAATCATCAAGTTTTCAAGTAATTTTAAATGATATAACAGTTGTAACACTAACGTAATTGTTTGTTATATAGATATGTATTTTATTGGCTGGATATCAAATGTATCGGCATATGATAATTATACTAATTTATTTTAATTGTGCCACAAAAAATTTAATAGCGAAGGACGATAAAAAAAATCAATTCTTCAGGTTATGTTTAAACGTATTACAAAGGAATCTGGCTATTGAAGATGGAATCCAGAAGTTATAAACACTTGAAAACTTCTTATAAAACAAAAATAAGCATAGTACATTTTCTTTCGAATTGTAATAAGCTGAAGAAACAAAGAAATATGAGATCTATTTACAACAATGGAAACAGACATATTCAAAGGTTTGTTTTTACTTAAGCTTTTTAATCTACTATATGTTGTTATCCTGTCAACGTTTAAAGCCAACTGAAAAACTTTAACGCTTTAACAGGTTAACTGGAGTTTAACTTAATAGGAGAGTCTTAAGTTGATCACAAATAATCACGTGAAATAACGTTGGATGTTCAGTTAAAGAAAATAGGTTTTTATTAAAATAATGTAAGATTTTAGATACGACGAAAAATATAGATAATCTCTTGGTTGCGAAATTAACTATCTTGAATTATACTACTGGGAATAATACTCTTTTCGTATAACTC